GTCTTTGCTAAAAAAAAATCCCAGTACGTGTAAATTAATTGGTTTCCATGAAAGTTATAGCGTCTACAATCGACAATATATGTACTGGATTTTTTTTTTTTTATATATACTAGTAAGGGCAGCGATCAGCAACTTATAGCGGGACTGCGGCAGGCATTGTGTCCACAGTAGCATTTGCGTAGGCAGAGCAGAGTAGGACTGGCCATGGAGGGATTACTTTGACACAGTTGGCCAGCTTAAGCATGTATTGCAATATGTGTGAACTAAATATACCTATTTATTGCATAGTCTGCTTGAAAGGGTATATACCAGTGCGCAGAGTGTTTAATTTTTAGTGTTAATATGTGGTTACACCCCTTTAGCACCTGATGGATAAATGCATGCACTAGCTGTTGGGATTTGAGCACAGGTTATCTCTTGTTTGCGGCAGGCATTCTGACACTGGGGAGGAACTGACTGTCACTGACATCCCCAGTGACACTAATACAGTGATCACTGCTAATATAAAAAGTACTGACACTGTACTAATGACACTGGGCAGGAAGGGGTTAATATCTGCGGCAATCAAAGGGTTAACTGTGTGCTGTGTGTATTTTACTGCATTTTACTGTGTAAGCACGCTGCTTTGTATTGCTCTGCTATACAGAGCAATACAAAGCAGCGTGCTGGAGTTGACAGAGGAGAGATCTGTATTGTTTACATACAGACCTCTCCTCTGTCACTGTTTCTTGGCGATCGCCAAGTGCCGGCAGGGAATCTCCAGCTGGGATCCGGTGATCAACAGCTGTAGCCGCCAATGGCGCGCGCCTCCCTACCCAAAAATACAAAATCATGTATATATACATGATTTTGCACAACTATGCCATCCTGTAGCAGTAGTTCTTCTGTAGGGTGGTTGGGAAGCGGTTAATCTCCTGTGTCTCAAAGGTGAAATATCAGTGATCTGTTTAGAGCCCTGATACTTCACTAAAGCCCTCCAATGGGGCTCCTAAAAGATTTTTAAAAATAATGAACATACAATTGCAAAAATATGAAATAGAATGGTAAAAAACAAAAACCTACTAACACCAGTGTTGGAACTACCAGGGTCGCAAAGGTTGCACTTTCAAGCAGACCCTGGGGTTCCACCACCAAAAAGGGGGGGGGGGGCGGTCGGAGGTCCTTATGGTTTTTTACACCGGGCCCTGAAGGTTCTAGTTGTGCCTCTGCAATGAAAGATGATTATGGTTGCCAAAGGCTAAAATTCAGGTGGGGAACTACACAAAAGTGGCAATATTGTAAATAACATACTTAAAATAAAATGGCTGAAGTATATCTGTAAACTTTTTTATGGGAACTATGATTTATAAGGCCTGGTTTACACAATTGTGATATCGGATGTTACACAGATTTGCATGATGATGGAAATCACATTATTATTATTACTATGATGCCTGTTCACACCAATGTAGCACAGCAAGGCCTGTTTTTGGAAAAGGGTCTGGTGCTACTGGTGAAGTTGCTGCTCAGTTTTGGCCTAATGGACCTCAATGGGAAAAAAACACGCATGTAAAATGTATGTAAATGCATTTTTGGTGCATTTTTGCAGGGTGTGTGTAGGTTTTTATGGAGCTGGCACCCACCTGCATCCTAACAACCAGTAACATATATCTGCTGTCAGCTGGGGATTCCTGGCTGACAACAGCCTGTAAACAAAGAACCCATCATTAAAAATATATATTTTTTTTTTAAATGGCATGGGGGTCCCCCCCACAATCTATGCCAAGCTCATGTGCCCCCTCCTGAACCATACCAGGCCACATGCACTCAACATGAGGGAGTATTCTGCCAAGAGGGGAACCCCCCAGAAAGCACCTTGTCAACATGTTGGTCTCTTAACCACAACTCTGGCAGAGGTCAGAGAATCTGGAAGCCTCCTTGATAAATAAGGGGGCCCAAAATACCGATCCCTACTCATTCACAAAAAAAGTCAGTGAAAAATAAAAACACATAAGCAACACAATATATATGGAGTAATTTCTTGCATATCAACATAATATTTCCATGGGGGCATCATCCTAGTAACAAAGTGACACAGCCAAAAACCACGTTACAGGAAGCAACATCATCTGATACCTGAGGCCACATCATAGGCGAGCCCCGGTTGCCATATGTGCTTCTGGTATCAGATGGCACCATTTCTTGCGATGTTGTTTCCAGTCTGGCAGCCACATCACTACCTTTGCCTTTTGGGATGGAGGGCACAGATGACTTCCTACAGTATACCCGGTACTTGTGGGGACCTTCACCTGATGGTTTCTTCCGGCCTGACATTTCGATAGGATTTGCCCACCACTTTAGTGGTTAAGGGGATGGTCCTTGGGGAACACAGAAAATATAAAGAAGGATGTGTAGCTGGTGGTGTGACTTCTTCCTTTCATGGCCGCATAGTCACACACACAGTGCGTTTGGTTATATGAGGGCATTATGCTTGGAAGGATGTGACTTGTGTTATCGCTTGTTCCTCAAAATGGTTCCGAAATACTTTTTAAATTTATTATCTGACTAAGGGTTTATATATTATGTGTATTTTCCAGTGATGTTGGAACATTAAGGAGCTCTTCTCATTTTTTTAATGTTCCCTTGTTTTTGTCTATCAACCCAGCCTCCAACATTCTCTTCTGGGTGTTTGCTTTATACGCCTTGGGATTCTCAGCTTAAGTAAGTTTCTGAACAGGTTTACCTTGCTTTTATTTACATCTGAGAAATAGATATGGGATATGTATGTGTTTACTTTTACATCATATACACTCACCAACCACGTTATCAGGTACACTCTGCTAGTGCTAAGAAAATATACCCCACACCATTACGCCACCACCACCAGCCTGCACCATGGATACAAGGCAGGATGGATCCATGCTTTCATGTGGTTTATGCCAAATTCTGACCCTACCATCTGAATGTCATAGCAACCAGTCTGCCCATTCTCCTCTGACATCAACAAGGCATTTCCGTTCACACATCTGCTGCTAACTGGATAGTTTCTCTTTTTCGGACCATTGCAATGGTTGTGCGTGAAAATGACAGAAGAAGACTAGAGACTGCGGACATAGTACAGGAGATGACCAGAGACTGCGGACATAGTACAGGAGATGACCAGAGACTGCAGACATAGTACAGGAGATGACCAGAGACTGCGGACACAGTACAGGAGATGACCAGAGACTGTGGACACAGTACAGGAGATGACCAGAGACTGCGGACACAGTGCAGGAGGTGGACCAAAGACTGCGGACACAGTACAGGGAATGACCACAGACTGCGGACACAGTACAGGAGATGACCAGAGACTGTGGACACAGTGCAGGAGATGGACCAGAGACTGCGGACACAGTACAGGGAATGACCAGAGACTGCGGACACAGTACAGGAGATGACCAGAGACTGCGGACATAGTACAGGGAATGACCAGAGACTGTGGACATAGTACAGATGACCAGAGACTGTGGACATAGTACAGGGAAATTACCAGGGACATAGTAGAGAATTTGACAGATACCCGCTCCCACTTTCGCGGAGTTGTCCTTCCCACTTCTTCCCGCACCGGCTTCTGTGCCAGCTGGGTGCCCACTGCGCATGCGCGAGAAGCGCTGCACTTTGTGAATGGCCTGGTGCCTTCTGGGACGTGTCATGTGTCCCAGAAGACACCGGACCATTCACAAAGCACAGCGCTTCTCACGCATGCACAGTGGGCACTCGGCTGTCACAGAAGCCAGTGCGGAAAGACTGTACAGCGCTGGAGCGAGGAACAGGTAAGGTCCTGCAGGAGAGAAGAGCTGAGCGGCCGGCCCGATATTCTGACATGGTGGCGGCAGAAATACCCGACCGGCCGCTTTATATTCGCTCCATAAGACGCACTGACATTCCCCCCCTTTTTTTTGGGGTGCGTCTTATGGAGCGAAAAATATGGTATATTTCAAGTAAGTATATATTACCTTTTTGATAAGTAAAAGGGATAATGATATGCTTTCTGGTAAGGATACTAAATGGCTAAGGCATCCGTGTACAACAAAATAGTTGGCCCTGAGCACTTCCATATGTCCAAAACTGTGCTCTCAGACGTGCTGGAATGTACTACCCCGGAAGTGTGGGCCGGAAATGCATTCCAGCCCACACTTCCAGTACGCCGCTGTGTAACTTCCAGTCCGTGATTCACTACCCTATTGCCAAAGCCGTCCACTAGAGGCCGAAACATGGCTAATGTATATTACAGCCACCAGGACAGATCTTCTCAGGTGTGAGAAGGATAGCCACACAGAGTCTTCATAGTAGGCAGAACCTCCTCTTTTGGGACCCAAAGTGCAAAACACACACACACACACATATATATATATATATATACTACTTACTAAAGTAAAAAGACAGGGATACCATTAATATAATAGTATTACCTTTGTGCTGAAAAGAAAACAGGGAAGGGGGATGTGGATTCATAGTTCTCATACAGTGTCCACAATTGATCAGAGCTAAAATTCATCTTAAAGGGTACATGTGTGTTCAATTCCCTGGATTACATATAGTCATGGCCAGAAATATTGCCCCTGATTTTCTGTCAGATAATGAACCACTTTGCCCAGAAAATTGTTGCAATTACAAAATGTTTAGGCATTCTCATGTTTATTTCTGTTGTTTGTATTGGTATGACTCAAAAAAGTGGAAGATCAAAAACCAAATCTGACTTGGAGAAAACAAGCTCTTCAATTTTTGTAACAGCTGACCTGCAAGCCCAACAGTGCATGGGAGGTTAACTAACATGAACGCTGCATAGCTGAACAAAATCCCTTAAATATCAATTTCTGTATTTGGTTTTGTTCATATGGTCACTATCTTGCATGAGGTGCTCACTAATATTTTTCCCTAAGAAACAAATAGCTAGTATTCATCTAGCTCACATGCTTCTCAAGTACAGCTGCTCTGCTGAAATAAATTAATTCAGTTACCTATAAAATAACATTTACCTTCAGCTGCATTAGTATCAGTGGTGATAATGTTCATCTTCTTAAAATGATTTCTTAGTCTAAAGAAATTAGATAAAAATACAGTACAATAAAATTGATTTACATTTATAGTATGCTTGTTTTGCTTTGTGTATAAGTTAGCATACCCCTTCGAAAAAGAATAATCAATAGCCAACATAACCCCCTCTACATAGCAATTCTAATGTCAAAGATGGTACATTTTGTGGCCTTTCCACAGATTAGGAAAAGACCACAAATACAAATCAACACCTATCATCCTAGTTTTCACACATACAAGTTTACATAGCGGTGTTTCTGTTGCAACTGACATAAAATGGGTTCAATAACTATATGGAGTACTACATAATAATATGTAGGTCGTGGAGAATGAAATAGTTGGTGATAGCATAGCTAGTACCCAGCACCGTTAACATTGCAATGAAAAGGCTATAAACTGCCTTCCTGAAGCATAATCCAGCCAAAGCTTAAGCGCATGGTAGAGCAGCAGTTGAGAAATTGCAGTGGCTTTTGCTCTATATATTTTTTTCTTTTCAGACAATTACATGGCAATGGGTCACAAAACTGGTAGTGAATGAATTGTACTGAATAGTATCGAATAGTAAATAGTAAATGGCCTTTTCTAAAGAAGCCCCCTTCGTTATGACAACACACATCAAGTCTTAGCATATTTATTACAGGTGTTTTGTTATTGTGCCGAATATATTAGGAGTCACTAGAATTTAATGCACCTTATTCCTAAGCACATTGTGATATAAACTCTGAACATATATAAAAGTGTATATATGAAAGTGCAGCGAACATATATATATGTCACCTTACGTAATCAAAGGTATATAAAGAAAGAATAAAGTGCCGAACAGTGCAAATAATTCAGTAAAGTGAATCAAGTAATGTCCGTAATTCAATATAGTATTAAATATCAATCAGCAAATATTAATCAATTAATGTCCTTATGTAGATCAAATGCAATGCAGCCAAGAGTGCAAAGTGCGTGCATGCAAATATTCACGCAGGGGATCCAACACCTTGGACGGATGTACACTGGAAAGCACATGTCCCTATATAAATTGAAGAAAAAGAGAGGGGGAAATGCACTAATGCATAAAAATGCACTGGAATGCACCATAAACGCATCAGGACACATAAAAAATGCTCAAGCGGATTGGATCTGGATGGCGTTTCTATAGTGTGAACCAGCCATTAATGATAATGGTAAACAGGACAACTAGAGAGAGTGAATCTCCCTACGGGACCACAAACGGAAATAAAAATGCAGTAGGTGTTCTGATACCTCTCCACTGTTTTTCCTTTAGTTATACTTTCAGCTTGTTCAGCTAAGGTTTGGAAATGTGCATGGTTGCCATGAACACATGCTCCAGATTCTGTATGTTCTAGTCTTAGAAAATGATCTTCTTTTATTATTCTTTAGTGCTGTGTTCTTCCTAAGGTCTTTATTTGAGTAAAGCACACAATGAATGGAAAATCTGTGAAGCATGTTACTGACATGGCCATTTTTAAAACACTTTAAAGTATAACTAAATGCAAACATTTTTTCTTTAGTTTTGGATAGACTGGAGAGGGATTATAACAACTGTCAGTTTTTATTGCGATCTGTGCCACCATTAGGAGATTCAACCTCTCTATTTGTCCAGGTTACCATTACCATTGAAAATGAAAGTAAAAGAAAATCTTCTAATGGGGACCCCAGTTCTGGAAACCTGGGGAGGGTAACCAAGAGATTCGCTTAATTTGCAGGGATTTCCTCTCACTTTCTGTTTCAGCTACAAGACAGGAAGTGAAGGTAAACCTCCCCATTGGGACAAAAAGGGCAAAAATAAACCTTAAAGGTTATAACCCTCCCTTAACTCTATCCAGAATGAGAAAAAAAAAGGTTTTGTCTATTGCTTTACTTTAAGTTATAATTCTGAACAAAGTTTCCAGAAATTAAAAAGTTGAAATTACTTTTTTGGTTTTCCAACTAATTATCCTAACATGCTTATATTTTTTACAAAGTGCACGATCGTCTGTACTCACTGATCATTATGCTGTAGAACACACAAGGATTTTTGTTCAAGCTCTTTCACCTTTACTTCTACCTTGTACACATCTTCAGTTCTAACTGCTCTTTTCTTCATTCCAGATATCTCTGATAGTAAAACCTATGAAGTTTATAAGCAGAGTTATATATTAAGTAAAATGAATAGGTTTTTTTTTAACGAAATGAAAATCATTGTAAACATTTAGGTGTTTCAGCAAAGGATATTACATGTTATTCTTAATGTGAACTCAATTTTTCAATTAAATGTTATTACCAAGGCTTTCCTATATAAATCTGCACTCACTTGTGATTTACTACAGTATGTCTAATTACTCCTTCTTTGCATTTAGTATTAGTATATTAGTTTTTCAATATGGGCATCTTTATTGGGGAGAAATGTGTTATTTATAATAAAATATATTGATGTAGAAGTTAGTCTTGGTTTTCGTTTATTTAAAAGAGACCTTGTCACCTTGCCCATGTAAGGCAAAGAAACAGTATCTGCGCACAGGGCAACCCTTCCCCTGACCTTCCTATACTCACCTTACCAGTGTTCCACTGTGGCTCCTTCCCCCTCCAGAAACCAGCGACAATGCTCAGTGCTAACATCCCGCCCTTCCAGGTACAGAGGAGCATGTGACTTCCTCCTCTGTAACAGTGCTCAGCTTTAGCAGCCAATTGCTGACTCAAGCCCTTTCATTTAACTGGGAGAGTTACATCGCATTCCCCTGGGTGTCTGACACCAATCACTTCAGTGCACACTGCAGAGGAGAAGAGAGCAGGGAGGAAGTGCTGGTAAAGTGAATATGGTTTATGAAAACAGTAACAGCTTGTTACATCTATCCCTACTGCTTGTGAAGTGCCAGCTCTGCATGATTCATAGGACAGAATTATTATAAATGAATATGCATATCCATGTATGTCATAATGTGCTGCCCCACTCTTTCTTTAACAATTGGCAGAAATAAAACATCGACTTTGCCTTTACAAATGTCATTCCTTAAGCTTAAAGTGGTTGTAAACCTCAGACATGAAGTATGAACAAAGCATTATACTCTATAGTGTGTACCTGTCTCAATTAAGAGAGCTAAGTGTCATTTCTGTTTGCTGCTTCATTCCGCTATCAGCATGGATAACTTCTGACACATTTTCCTGAATCCAACAGAAAGAAGGTGACAGGGGAGGGACCTCCAGCACACTGCCTGTGATTTACAGCCTCAGCTCTGTTCCTCTGTGCTGTGTGAAGGGGGTGTGTCCATTCCCTCCAATCAGCAGTCAGAGATCCCCTCAGTGAGCTATGCAGTATGTAATTTCAGCTCTCCACCCCCCTGTTTTCTGAAAGCTCAGACAAGCTTTATAAATTCTGGACTTTGAACAGATGTAGAGAAGAGAAGACTGTAGACAGACAGCTATAACTTATGTAGAAAAAAATTTGTTTCATAAGTCCAGTCACTTCACTGGGGATATGTAAGAGATTACAACCACTTTAACTATACTTACTGAAAAATACTATATGTAAGAGTAAAATTCATTTTCCAAACTGCTTTACTTTGTTTAAAGGCCAAATGTGGGTCAATTGTTTAGTTTATGCATTTTAACAGTTTGATGTCTCTATTATATTATTAAAATTGGGCAATTGCAGCACTTGTTAAGGTGAAGGGAATAAAAACTGATTTTTCAATGTATTTTTTTTTTAAAGTGATTTTTCCCATTGAAATTATTATAAAAGTCAGTTGTGGTAAGTAAAGCAAGCAAGCTACATATGTGCTTGTTGCAGATGAAGGAGAAGGTTGCAACAGTGCCGGGACAAGGTTATCCAGCGCCCAGGGCAAGGATGCCAAACTGCGTATCCCCCCCCCCCCCATTCATGATGTGCAAGCTTAGAGGATCCTATGCCCAGCAGTCACTCGCATGTCACAATCACTTCCGCTGTCACTATTCCTGTCAGTCTTGTAACAGAAAGAAGGTGCTCCCATCCCTACAGTAAACCACTGCGCCCAGGGCAGCTGTCCCTATTGCCCACCCCTTGTCCCAGCCTTGGGTTGCAATCAGACAGTAGTCTTGTCTGGTAGAGATGAGCTTGGGCATCCTCTAAATCCATCTCTAATCTAAACTCCAATCTTCCATTTTTTTGTACTCCAGTTAGCTGCAGGCTGGATCATTCTCCACCCTACAGCCCCAGAATGGTCCTTTACTAATCACATCTGATATGTAATACAATCTGGCTTTCAGACTGATGAAAAATTGTGGCCTGGAGTGATAAAAAGAGGAATATCACAAACCGTAATGTCTCTTGTTAAAACCTAAAATGGTGGCATAGTGGAGATAAAAGGATACATCACTAATTTTGTTACTCCTGTGTGTGAATTTTAGCTACAGCTTCTGAGCTCTGTAAACAATCGGCTTTAAACAGAAATGTTAAGGAAACAAATTAAAGCTTCACCTGTTGGCTCACAAGGAGAATACAAAATATCAATATGCAATATTTTATATTTAAATAAATAAAAAAACAATTAAAATTGTTACTTTTTAGTCCTAACTATAGTACACAAAAGACATAGTTTGAAAACAACTATACATTCCTTTAAACCATCCTTTCTCAACCAGGGTGCCTTGAGGTTTCTTCTGGGGTGACTTGCCAAATGTCTAAAACTTGTACAAAACTTGTATACAAGCCAGCTGGTAGAAGAAGCCTGACTTTTAGTTACACAAAGCCACGGGTTTTCATTGTGTGCCATTTGGACATTTTAGCCACCTGTGTCCTGAATACCAATGACATCATCAGTTGATGTTGGTTGCCTGCACAGCATCCTTGTGTGACCCTCCCCTGCCCCTCTCTGTCAGTACTGGGGTCATATTAGCTCAGCGATGGAGAAAAACATAGAGAAACAATGTAATACTAGTAAGGACCAGTGTGCAAATGCGTATTTGATTTGATTAAGAATAAATCACCGCTGGCATTGGGTGTCTGTTTGTGGATGTTGCTTTATATAAAACTATTAGTTTTTTACATTTTAGAATGGGGTGCCTCAAGACTGTCCATAATTGTGAAGGGTGCCTCTGGGCTGTCCATAATTTTCAAGGGTGCCTTGATTTCAAAAAGGTTGAGAAACACTGCTGTAAACAAATGAAATAAGCCAGTGGGACAAACAGTCAATTATTAGTGGTTTAATTCTCTAATTCCATCAAATATTTATCATATATTTCAACAAACAAACAACAAATAACTATTGTCTAAGCAATTACCTCATGCTGCAGTGGACACTGAGAATCCAGGAGATAATTTACATATGATTCATATGCATTCTAGTAAAAAAAATAAGAACATTAGTTACAAAAATATTAATAAAAATATGTAACAGATAAGTAGTGCTTGAAGCCCACAGTTTCATAGACAGACACAACTTTTTGGCTTGACATATTTAATGTTAATTTAGTGGACATAGTCTCCTATTTTATACTATGCAAAAAAGTGGAGATTAAATTGTTTGTGTGCACTAAAACTAATGTTAAACACAGTTTTTTCGAGGCTCCTTGTCCGCCTGCATCAAGTCCAGTGGTAGAATTTTAATAATGGCAGTTTAGGCATGGTGGTTTTATCCAGTTACATTTAACATGGGGCCTTATAAAATACATCTTTATGTTGTTCCTGGCTGAATTCTGCTGTATAATTGTAATAAGCAAGAGATTTTCGCTGTTGTCATATATATATATATCAGGGATGAGAAGTGATAATTATAATTATTGTGTTTGAGGCAAGAGTTTGCTAGCCAATATGGAATGCAAAACACCTCTATTCAAGAAATTATTTTTTCACGCAGCAGCTTGGTTCTCCAGAGAGCCCTGCATTTATTGGTTTCCAACACAGGACAGAATCCAGAGTGTTTACAAATAATACAATGATCAAAAGCCTTCAACGTCCCCAATCCTACTCTGATGATACGTTAGCAGGCACAGAGATATTCTACCTGTCCAACATACACTGCTCAAAAAAATTAAAGGAAAACAAAGCAGATCTCAATGGGGAAAAATATCATGCTGGATATCTATACTGATATGGACTGGGTAATGTGTTAGGAACGTAAGGATGCCCCATCGTTTGATGGAAATTAAAATTATCAACCTACAGAGGACTAAATTCAAAGACACCCCGAAAATCAAAGTGAAAAAATGATGCACCAGGCTAGTACAAATTTCATTGCAGCAACTCAAAATGTTTGTAGTAGTTTGTATGGCCCCCATGTGTTTGTATACATGCCTGACAACGTAGGGGCACGCTCCTAATGAGACGATGTATGGTGTCCTGGGGTATTTCCTCCCAGGCCTGGACCAGGGCATCACTGAGCTCCTGGACAGTCTGAGGTGCAACCTGGCGGCATTAGATGGACAGAAACATGATATCCCATAGGTTTTCTACTGGATTTAGGTCAGGTGAGCATGGGGGCCATTCAGTGGTATCAATTCCTTCATCCTCCAGGAACTGCCTGCATACTCTCGCCATATGACGCCGGGTACTGTCATACACCAGGAAGAACCCAGGACCTACTGTACTAGCATAGGGTCTGACAATGGATTCAAGGATTTCATCCTGATACCTAATGGCAGTCAGGATGCCATTGTCTAGTCTGTAGAGGTCTGTGTGTCCCTCCATGGATATGCCTTCCTAAACCATCACTGACCCACCACCAAAACAGTCATGCTGAAACATGTTACAGGCAGCATAACCCTTTTACGTCTGTCACATGTGCTCAGGGTGAACCTGCTCTCATCTGTGAAAAGCAGAGGGCACCAGTGGCGGACCTGCCAATTCTGGTGTTCAATGGCAAATTCCAATCAAGCTCTATGGTGTCGGGCAGTGAGAACAGGGCCCATAAGAGGACATCGGGCCCTCAGGCCACCCTCATGAAGTCTGTTTCTGATTGTTTGGTTAGAGACATTCACACCAGTGGCCTGCTGGAGGTAATTTTGTAGGGCTCTGGCAGTGCTCATCCTGTTCCTCCTTGCACAAAGAAGCAGATACCAGTCCTGCTGATGGGTTAAGGACTTTCAACAGCACTGTACAGCTCTCCTAGAGTAACTACCTGTCTCCTGGAATCTCCTCCATGCTCTTGAGACTGTGCTGGGAGACACAGCAAACCTTCTGGCAATGGCACATATTGATGTGCCATCCTGGAGGAGTTGGACTGCCTGTGCAACCTCTGTAGGGTCTAGGTATCGCCTCATGCCACCAGTAGTGACACTGACCCTAGCCAAATTCAAAACTAGTGAAAAACAAATCAGAAAAGATGAGTAGGGAAAAGGTGGCCTCCACCTGTAAAACAATTCCTGTTTTGGGGATTGTCTCATTGTTGCCCATCTAGTGCACCTGTTGTTAATATCATTAACACCAAAGCAGCTGAAACTGATTAACAACCTCCTCTGCTACTTAACTGACCAGATAAATATCCCAGGAGTTTAATTGACTTGATGCTATACTCTGAAAACTGTTCCTTGAATTTTTTGGAGCAGTGTATTTTCAATCTATAATATGCACCTAGGTAGCTACTATGCATGCAATCATGTATACTATCTTCTAAGTCTGTACTTCCAAAATGATGTTGTGTGATTTATCAAAAAATCTTTTTTGATACACAATTTTTCCCTCCCATGTAAAAACTGCTGATTGGTTGGTCAAGCACTTTTCATCCGAACATGGAAAGACCCTGCTTGCATTTTACTGAAAGCAACAAGATTTATATTTATTTGTGTCTATCTTGATAGCATCCCTTGTAATGTGTAAAACGGACTTGTCACTGTTCTATGTATGTTCATTCAATATCAATCTATACACACATACAGTGTGTGTATATATATATATATATATATATATATATATATATATATATATATATACACACACACATTACACACAATATACTACAGTCAACCTGTCAAATTATCTACAACTAAAATTTGTTATATACCTTTACTTGCTTCAGCATAGTTCCGAATGCAAAAGAAATGTTGCAAATGTTTCCAAATGTTTCACTGAAGATTTGCAAACGTGCAAAATGAGGGGGCTGGATATGGGCAATATTCAGAAGTTCCTAGGAAGAAAAAATAAAGAGGTGTGATTTACTCAATGCATTTCATAAAACTATTTTGGTACCAGAAATAAAAGAGGATGTTCCAAGGCAATACAGCTAAATTCCATTTGCCATCCAACTACGAATAGGAGCTTCACTGGGCTTTGGTACCCAAACTACAGAGAATCTCTTATATGGGGTTATTGCTGACCCACCATCCCAGAGCATCAGAGTGCAATGCAGAGGGACTACTTCTAAAGATGGAGCTATAGTAGGGAGCAAGAGCCGCATAAGCCGATGCCTCCTCTGTAGTGCTGGCTCCTGTACCATGCAGAGTGTTACCATCTGCACTCCACCTCTTATCCCAGCTAGCAGACTCAAGAGTGGTTCCAGCAGCAGGAAAGAAGAGGAGATCTTCAGGTCAATGTGAAGCAAAACACTGGGCATAATAGTATACCTGCACCTGCAACTCTCCTGTGGGTTTGCTGCACTGCCATAGACTTCTATTATATCCTGTGGTTTTGCTGCACTTAGCCATAGACTTCTATTATATCCTGTGGGTTTGGTGCACTTTCTGAAAGTGCACCACACCTGCAGGATATACAGTGAGGAACAGAAGTATTTGAACACCCTGCGATTTTGCAAGTTTTCCCACTTAGAAATCCTGTGGGGGTCTGAAATTCACATTGTAGGTGCATTCCCACTCTGAGAGACAGAATTTAAAAAAAAATTCAGGAAATCACATTGTATGATTTTTAAAGAATTTATTTGTCTTGCACTGCTGAACATAAGTATTTGAACACCTAAGAAACAGCAAGAATGATGGCTCTCAAAGACCTGTTACTGTGACTTTAAAAAGTCCACCTCTACTCCACTCATTAATCTAACTTAGTAGCACCTGTCTGAGCCCTTTAAATACACCTGTCCACCCCACAGTCAGTCAGATGCCAACTACTACCATGGGCAAGACCAAAGAGCTGTCAAAAGACACTCCAGAGACAAAATTGTGGACCTCCACAAGGCTGGAAAGGGCTACGGGGCAATTGCCAAGCAGCTTGGTGAAAATAGATCAACTGTTGGAGCAATTGTTAGAAAATGGAAGAGGCTAAAGACGATTGTTAGTCTCCCTCGGACTGGGGCTCCATGCAAGATCTCACCTCGTGGGGTATCACTGATGATAAGAAAAGTGAGGAATCAGTCCAGAACTACAAGGGAGGAGCTGGTCAATGACATGAAGAGAGCTGGGACCACAGTTTCAAAGGTCACTGTCGGTAGAACACTACGCCATCATGGTTTCAAATCATGCATTGCACGGAAGGTTCCCCTGCTCAAGTCATCACATGTCCAGGCCCGTCTGAAGTTTGCCAATGACCATCTGGATGATCCAGAGGAGGCATGGGAGGAAGTCATGTGGTCAGATGAGACCAAAGTAGAACTTTTTGGTCTAAACTTCACTCGTAGGAAAAAGAAGGATGAGTTGCATCCCAAGAACACCATCCCTACTGTGAAGCATGGGGGTGGTACATCATGCTTTGGGGGTGCTTTTCTGCGAAGGGGACAGGACGAACTGTAAGGGATGAATGGGGCGCCATTTATTGCATCCCAAGAACCTCCTTCCCTCAGTCCCTACTTGAAGATGGGTTGTGGCTGGGTCTTCCAACATGACAACGACCCGAAGGCCAGGATAACCAAGGAGTGGCATGCATTCAAGGGGAGTGGCCTAGCCAGTCTCCAGACCTAAATTTTGAAACTCCGTTTGCTTAGCGACAGCCCCAAAACCTGACAGATCTAGAATGACTGTAGGAGTGGGCAATTGCAGAAAACCTGGTCAAGAACTACAGGAAACGTTTGACCCCGTAATTGCAAACAAAGGCTTCTGTACCAAATATCAACCCTGATTTTCTCAGGTGTTTCAAATACTTAGTTCAGCAGTGCAAGAGAAATACATTCTTTCCAAATCATACAATGTGATTTCCTGCAAAATTCTCTCAGAGTGGGAATGCACCTACAATGTGAATTTCAGACCCCTCATGATTTCTAAGCAAAATAGGGTGTTCAAATACCTCTGTTCCTCACTGTAATAGAAGTCTATGGCAAAGTGTAGCTAATCTAGAAAAGTTGCAGATGCACTGCGCTGCACCCATGGTGCAGGTAAACTGCAGCACATCAGTGTGAAAACAGTATTATAAGGGGCTCAGAACAGTAAGGGTTCATTTACATTTGCAGTTTGGGGGGTGGTAAAATCCCATAGTTAAGACTTGTTTTTACTACCCATTCCCAACCGCACCCCCTTTAGCTGCAGTAGCCAGATCTGTACACATGTCCCAGCTGCAGCACGAGTTACTTGCCCTGACATGGTTGGTGGGTGTAGCACCTGCCAAGCATGACCCATTCAAGTAAATGAGGCAGCTCTGAAAGGGCCCTGCAACCTTTTGCAGAACAGCAAACAAGGGATTAATGCAGGCAGGGTTGTGTTGCTTTCTCACCACCTGCTTTAATCCCTAGGACCCACAGAAGCATGCAGTTGTGGGGCACTTGCAGAGTGGCCCCATTTACTTGAATGAGTGGCAATGGGCAGGCGGTAGCACCCACCAAAAGCAACAGGGGGTTTAATTCCTGCTGCAGCATGTGTACACCTTTGGTTGCTGCCTCAGCAGCTATAGGGGGTAAAGATGGGGGGGCAGTAAAACCTCGGCGCAACTGCAGGGTTTTACCACCCCCAACTTTATGTGTGAATGAGCTCTAAGGGTGCCGCTGCCGAATTCAACTAAGGGCTCATTCACAAGTGTAGCAGGTACTGTTGCGCCTCTGAATAGCGATCCGAGTGTATTAGACATGTGCTGAGAAGGCAATATGTTCCTCACCACCTGATTTAAACCTTTGATTGGCGTAAAATGCACGCGATTGTGACACAGTAATATGGCAATTTAAAAAAAAAAATCAGGTGTGAGGAGGCGACACTGTGCCCGGTGAGCTTTGATTTCTCCCATGTTGTTTTGGTAGATCTCCACCTCTTTAAGGTTGCCTACCCCTGATTTACACTATGTGACTTAAAATGTCCTTTTGCTAGAAAATTTGTAGTGGTGTAATGATGTGTCTATATAGAAAGAAAAAAACTGTGCTTCATGCTCAAAAATCTAAATATATAACAGCTTTACTCAGGAAACACAAAAAATACAAGTCAAAACTACAATTCATACATCCCAATATTGTTACACTGTGTATAAAAGGGATTCCAGCCATAAACACTTCAATAAAGTGTCAAGAACCACAATCTCTGAATGTGAAAATTATTAACACCATAAGTGAAAATGTCTAAATAAATCCATCAATAAAATATCTTGTTCGGAATGCCACCATTGACTCCAACTTATAGGTTGTCTAGAACAGCTCAGAGGTGTCTGGACTAGGGGCGGACTGACCATTTGGAAACTCGGGCACTGCCCGAGGGCCCGGGGTCAGTAGGGGGCCCCATGAGATGCCCCTGGTACCTTTTTCATAAGCTTTTTTGAGTTTGGGCAAGGACACAGGGGCCCCATGATCCCCTATTGCCCGGGCGCCACATGAGTTGTCAGTCCGCCTCTGGTCTGGACCTTGCAGTAATGGATCATCCAGCATTGAGAGCCACAGAACACACAGAAGGAGAATGCACCATATACACTATATTGCCAAAAGTATTGGGACACCTGCCTTTACAGTACACACACATGAACTTTAATGGCATCCCAGTCTTAGTACGTAGGGTTCATTATTGAGTTGGCCCACCCTTTGCAGCTATAACAGCTTCAACTCTTCTAGGAAGGCTGTCCACAAGGTTTAGGTGTGTGTCTATGAGATTGTTTGGCCATTCTTCCAGAAGCGCACTTGTGAGGTCAGGCACTGATGTCGAACGAGAAGCCTGGTTCACAGTATCCGCTCTATTTCATCCCAACGGTGTTCTATCAAGTTTAGGTCAGGACTCTGTGCAGGCCAGTCAAATTCCTCCACCCCAAACTCGCTCAGCCATGTCTTTATGGACCTTGCTTTGTGGAACAGGAAGGGGCCATCCCCAAACTGTTCCACAAAGTTGAGAGCCTTAAATTGTCCAAAATGTCTTGGTATGCTGACGTCTTAAGAGTTCCCTTCACTGGAGCTAAGGGGCCAAGCCCAACCCCTGAAAAAGAATCCCACACCATAATCCCCCCTCCACCGAACTTTACACTTGGCACAATGCAGTCAGGTTCACCTGGCAACTGCCAAACCCAGACATGTCCATCGGATTGACAAACAGAGAAGCATGATTCGTCACTCCAGAGAACACGTCTCCACTGCTCTAGAGTCCAGTGGCGGTGTGCTTTGCATCACAGCATCTGAAGCTTTGATTTTCACTTGGTAATGTAAGGCTTAGATGCAGCTCAGCCATGGAAATCCCATTCCATGAAGCTCTCTATGCACTGCTGTTGTGCTAATCTGAAGGCCACACCAAGTTTGGAGGTCTTCAGCTATTGACTCTGCAGACAGTTGGTTACTTCTGCATGCACTGACCCCGCTCTATCATTTTACATGGCCTACCACTTCGTGGCTGAGTTGTTGTTATTCCCAGTTGCTTCCACTTTGTTATAATACCACTAACAGTTGACAGTGGAATATTTAGTAGCAAGGAAATTTCATGGATGGACTTATTGCACAGGTGGCAACCTATCACGGTACCATGCTTGAATACACTGAGCTCCTGAGAGCGACTCATTCTTTCACAAATGTTTGTAGTAGCAGTCTGAATGTCTAGGTGCTTGATTTTATACATCTGTGGCCATTGAAGTGATTGGAACAATGGAATCCATTGATTTGGAGGGGTGTCCGAATACTTTTGCCAATGTAGTGTATCTCTTCACCCCCAAGACTAACAACCCAGCAAAGAAAACAGATGACAGCCTCCAATAGTGTAAAACTACTAGGTTTATTGGTTAAAAAAATGTGTATCTATGTAGAATGCATCAAGTATAATTTGCATATCACATCTGTAAATAGCACAGTCAGTGCGG